CGTTTGTAACAGGCCACGTGGCAGGCATATTTCCAATGTATTGTTAGGTTGACGGACGGAAGTACACGCCTTGTTAAAGCCTCCAGGGGTGACATGCGTAGGCCCAATTTTAATTTTTTCTTTTAGGGCAGGGTGGTTATCAGCCTGTTAATCTAGGCTCTCTGGGAGGTGGGGGTGGAATCAACTTGAGCCATGGAGTTTTTTAGAGGGAACCAGGGCCTTGACAAGAGTGAGGAAACCCCATTTCTCTACAAAAAAAAATAGAAAAGTTGGTTGGGTGTGGTGGCTCTCGTCGCCCCAGCAAATGAGCCACGTCCTATTCCATGTGTGTTAACTGCATCAAATAGCGCTCAATTCTTGGCAATTAACCGAAGCAACGGTTTTTTTAAAAAACAATAAAGCATGTAGTAAATGTGCCTAGGCAACGGTACGGCTAGGTGTCTGTTTATGTCTTCTGCTCACCTGAGTGTTCAACCTCGCGGCACAGCCTACAGGAGCAATGCTCAGCCCAGGTGTGAGGGAGGAGTTTCCCACCAGCCTGAGGAGTCTCGCAGGGCAGTTGTTACAAATATTAAATGACGTCCTACAGTTCCTGAGTCATTTCCTTTAACACATTGACTGCCACACTAGAAAAAATGTTTTTCCCCTGGGGCCACAGTGTTTTATTAAAACAAAGCAATCCTTTCTAATTTCTTATTTTTTATTGCTTTCTGTGCATGAGTTATATGAAACAAAATCTACATTTTCAGAATTAAATTGTTAATATAAATTGTAATAATAAGAACATGAAAAAGTAAGATTTTCACCAACCAGCTGCAGGATTTTGTTTCGAGCCGCCCTGGGCTCAAAACTAGCCTGAGTTGGCCAGGCGCGGTGGCTCACGCCTGTTAATCCTAGCACTCTGTGGGAGGCCGAGGCGGGCGGATTGCTCCTGGTCCGGAGTTTGAAACCAGCCTGGAGCAAGAGCGAGACCCCGTCTCTACTATTAAATAGAATAAATTAATTGGCCAACTAATTATATAGAAAAATTAGCCGGGCATGTGGGTGGCGCATGCCTGTAGTCCCAGCTACTCTGGGAGGCTGGAGGCAGGAGGATCGCTTGAGCCCAGGAGTTTGAGGTTGCTGTGAGCTAGGCTGACGCACAGCCACTCAGCTCAGCCTGGGCAACAAAGTGAGACTCTGTCTCAAAAAAAAAAAAAAAAAAAAACTAGCCTGAGTTAAATACACTCACATGGCAGTCAATGTGTTAAAAGTCTAGAGTGAGGGTGTGGGGTCTGTATACCCCATACAGACCATGTGTGTTCCTACAGTGGATGTCTGGCAGTCCTCCCTTATCTGTGGGGATAGGTTCCAAGACCCCCACTTGGAACATATGCCTGAAACCAGAGATAGTATCAAACCCTGTATCATGTGGTATATAATCAGATAATCAATAATGCCACAGGGACATTTTTTTTTTCTTTGTAAAGACAGTCCTCGCTC